AACTATTGCTTTCTGCATGACAGGGCCTTCAGGGAAAATGGCAAGATCTGACTTGTAAGTTAGATCAGAAATCCTGGTAAAGAAGAAAGGGAAAACTACCCTTGAAACTGCCTGAAGGTTTCTTCTTTTGGGCTTCTTGTGTCCCTCCAGTATTAAATAAGTGGTTATTAGATTGTAGTTCAAGAAACAAGCTGCTGCCTCACATTAGCTGTCACCCTGCTTTGATATTTGGTGTTGCATGGACCATTGGACAGTCCTGTGTTACATTGTGGTGGAACAGGTCTTGCACTCTGAAAACCTCGGGCACCTTTGACCCTAGTTTGCTTTGAGCAAAGAATGGAGACTTCCACTGTTGTACTGTCATACTGTTTGCTTCCTTCCTTGACATTTTCTTCCTTGATTTGCTGTGGGGTGTGTTGTTTGTTTTGATTTTTCCCTAGCACATTTTTGGAAATTGCTGTTTATTTTTATTTTTTCTAATTCCCCTTCTGTTATCCCTGATTACTTCCCCCCATGTTTGTTTATTACTTCTCCTCTTCCTCTCCCCCACCAGCCTTTTTGTTTTCAGTGTCAAGGTTTCATCTTCTTTGTTTGAGTTAGTTTGCCTAGCTTTTTACTTTTCTTTAATTTATTCTAGTTTTCTACCATTCCTTCTGCTTTCACTCTCTGTGTCACACACTCCCTGTCTGTTTATATGTGAAGGATTCTGTGTCTCACTCTTTCAATCTGTTTCCCACATCCCCTTCTGGTCTACCCTAAAATCTTTTGTTCCATTAAATTCTCCGCCTCCTCACCACATTCTCTGTCCAGCTACATGAGTACCCCATCTGTTCATCATTTCCCCTGCAGGTTGCTGTCTTTTCCTTAATGGACAAGGACACTGTCTCTCTGACGCTCACAAAAACACTCTTTCCTCTCATGCACAAACACAGTTCTCCCAGAGAACTCTTGGGAATACCTTGAAACTCTGACCTCTTTTTTCAGTTTCTTTACTTGGTAGTTTGCCTTCTCTTGATTCCCCCCCCAAAGTCTTACATTTTTCCTCTCTGTACTCAGTAACCCAAGAAATCAGGGCAGGAATTACTTTGTCCTTTGTTCCTGACTTTAGAGGATTTCCATGGCCGCCTAATCTGATGGTGAATTAAGACAAGTAAGCTGAACAAGTGCAGAGGCATCAAAATTGACTCCTTGTTCCATTTGTATAACCTTGGAGAACCTTTTTCACAAACTTTTTTCAAGTAAACCAGTGCAACTCATAGAATGTAAGTGTGTTGGAGTAGAGAGGCAAGAAGGTGTGACATTTCCATCAAAGGGCATCTTTAACATGATTTCACATGGCAAAAACTATTATAGAAAAAAAGGGACTTGGGGAGAGAGGGTGTAGGGGGAGGAGTACTTTTATTGGACTAACTACATGTTTGAAAGATATTTAGACAGACTTTCAAGTATTTTGTGCTCAAAAGCACGTCTGAAAAGTTTTACAACCATGCAGTTGGTCCAATAAAGGTATTTTGGTTATTTCACCCAAAACATCTTTCTCTTGCATGTTTCCTGAACCATCACAGCTACAGCATCGCCCCAACACTACCAAAGCTATTTTCAGGTATCTATTCATAGCCAGTTGACAAGATAGCCCTAGTGAAAAGAAATAAATGCTTTTAAGTTGTTATCTAATATAATTGTTTCCTCTGAGATGTTTGAAATAGTGTTCCTTTTTTTCCTGTTGGTAAGGCTTTCCCTGAGGTTTCTCTCAATTAGGTATCTTTAACAAAACATTATTCTGTGGCTTGAGGTTTGAGGTAAATCCATTTGCTCTAAACTTGATTGTCTACCTCCCAGTCTAATTTTATTCCAATCTCTTATTTTACATCTACTTTCATGTTTCAAAAGAAAAATAACCAGGATGGTGTAGCTTGAAGGCATAATCTCTTTGGGTGCCTGTAGATGTGCCAGGAGGTTGCTCTGATACACTCTAATTACAGTGTATTGGAACAGACTCAATTAATCGAGTCTGCTGAAGCATGCTAATTAGTGTACTCCAGCCAGCCTCCTTGTCCTACATATCAGTGTCCCTGTGCTTCAAAATGGCATTGGAGGTGCTTGAAATATAGCTTGTTTGACGAGCTTTAGTTAAAGCACTCCTGCCACCATTTTTAAGCGGAGGGATGCTGATATAGCAGACGTTGTGGTGCTTTAATTAGAGCGGCTATTGGAGGACTTTTAAAAATGTCCCTTAGTTGTATTTTGCGGTATCTGTCTTATAAAAATCCGTCCCTGTATTTGTGCAAAGCCACAAAGATGCAATGTGAGACGTAGCTGTTGAATTTGAGGTGTGTGAAAATCAACATAAATAGCATTCATGTAAGAATTTAAAATGGTCTTGAACTTGGGACTCAGGCAAAAATGCATGTGCCACTGCTTGTTGAATCCATGTATGCAGTTGTTTTATTTACGTGAATCAATTACCACAGAGGTGTAATAAAGTAACTGTGTGCCTTGGGTAGTGACTCCACACAGGGCAACACTGGTTACCATGTGCAGGCAGTGGTGCTGTGACTGTTCCCCAGTTTCAGCAGCAGCAATTTTTGTGCCACTTTTCCAGAGGTGGTACACAGGGCAGGTGCTCTGGTCATCCCATCTCAGTTATGCAGCCAAGTCACCAAATAGATAATAGAGCAGTGGCTTGCACCTGCTAATGTGCCACTTGTGCTAGCAGGTTGGAGTGACTACATAAATAAATTCTGTGTGCAGCTGCAAAGCATATTTTTGTAACTGTTCCTAAGTGACAGGTTGAAAATTTGATTCTTCTGCCAACATTTATAAGTATGGAAGAAAAAAAGTTCCAGTCTCTCAGCACAGGCAGTCCTCCACTTACAATGTTTCAAGTTGCAATGTTTCACACTTACAACGTTTATAAATTGACACCCTGTTTCAACTTTCTGACATCAGTTTTGACTTTACAATGCTTGATCCGATGCCAGGCCACACCAGCAAACAAGTTCACTGCATTGCCCATCCCCCTGGAGAACATCTGTCCAAACTTCCTTGCACATTTTTTAAAGAAAGCAGACAAACCTCAGCCAAGACTCCTGAAAAGACTTCATTCAAGAACCTTCACAAAGTCCAACCAAGAGTCCTTCAAAAAGTCCAGCAAAGTCACCTCAAAGAATCGATCAATATGATTGCTATTTACAATATAAATACATTAATGTAGCTATATTACTCATCTATAATTGATCTGAGTACAAAATTCTGCGTTATTTTTGGTGAAAATAGGGTATTGGCCCTTGGCTCAGCAACCAATTTCCCATTTATAACATTGTTTCCTATGGGAAAATTGGTTCCGAGTTGCAGTGTTTTGACTTAAGATGCGGTTTTCAGGAACCAATTGTATCATAAGTCTGAGGACTGCCTATACTGAAGCAGCAACTTAATAATCCTTTTAAATGCATGTATTTAAAGCCTGCTGTCCCATGTGAAACCCTCAGGAACAATCATGTGGAAGACCTACCAGGTGCAGAAGCAGCCATCCCCCTTCATCTTCAAGGAGCTACCTTGTTTTTTTGCTTTGCACCCCCCCCCCCCTCCAGTAGTAAGCCCTTT